CAAACAGTAAGTACGTAATATTATCACATGGTAACAGCACGTATTATGGCAAAAATAAACATCGGCTGATTTGAAAAGATTTATTATAGTAATAATAGTAATCTCAGGACAATTCACACAGCTTCATCTAGACACAAGTTAAGCTAGCTGAACATTGTGTTATGGGTACCAGACAACTGATACAAATACAATGATGGTTTTTAACTTTATTTTTCTAAAATAAAAGTAGCCTAAGTTACTCCTTATTACATCAGCTACCTGTCAAAAAAGGTCCCATCAAAATCGGTCCAGCCATTTCAGAGATTAGCCGGAACAAACAGACAGACAGACAGACAAAAATTGTATAAAAATAAATTTTAGTATATGTACCGTATTTATATTCATATGCTCGTAGTCAAAAACTATTATTTCAATATTATAAACAACAGGCTTCAACATCCTCAAGTACCACAAAAAAGATGTTTTTATAAAAAACTAGCTGATCCCGCGATTCGTCCGCGTGGAATTTAACTTTATTTTTCTAAAATGAAAGTAGCCTAAGTTACTCCTTATAAATCGGTCCAGCCATTTCAGATATTAGCCGGAACAAACAGACCGACAGACAGACAGACAAAAAATATAAAAATTGTTAATTTGGTATATGTACCTTATATATATTCATATGCATGTAGTGAGGAACGGTTATTCCAATATTACAAACAGACAGTCCAATTTTATTTATATGTATAGATGTATAGATTATTATTTATTCATCCAAAATAATACAAATAATACAAATAGCCCAAAAATAGTTTTGTGTTTTGTATTTCAAATACTAAATGCAAAATAGGTATTTTCAAAATACTTTTTCAAAATAAAGTACCTTTTGAATTTTTGTCCAAACCTCAGATATTTTATTTATTTTAGGTATATCAATCATTACATAGTGTAGTATAAAACAAAGTCGCTGTCGCATCTAACAGTACATAAACAAAGAAAGAAGACTTTTTGGCTCTGATACCGTAACGGCCTATGAATTATGAATTTATTATACCTAATCTAGATATTTTATATTCGCAATGCTACCTACATTGTAATATCCGCCTCCATTCATTGTAACGGTGGAGGGACTAAATAGTTGAATAAAACTGAATAAGCAGTTGCTCCACTCTATAGGTACTGCGTCGTCGTCGTATGCTGTTCATTTTTTCACTCGTTTTGGCGCCAAGAGAGGGTCACATAGTCGTGGTCAAGTTAAGAACTTATAATTTAATTTTAATAACAATAGATACAAGTAAAAAGTAGGTATTATATTAATGTACGTAAGTACTGTACTTAAAAATATTTATTCTTCTTTCATTTGAAAAACTTAACACTTAAGGACTTGTACATATACACGTACATACTGCCATTTTCTCTTAAAGACATCCAGAGAAGCACTATTTATCAAATACGAGGGGTGCACCGACCTTTGACCTTATAACAGCTGATTCGCGCGTAACGAATTACATTGCTACTTTTTGGTGTTTTATAGTGGATATATCACTATAAAATATTATTATTTCTTTAGATTATGGCATAATAACATTGTTTACATGATTTTAAGGGAAACATACGATAAAAACAATTCCCGTCAAATGTAAAAGATAAAAAATGGTTATTTTTGGTTATCCTTAAGAGATAGAGATATACCATCACGGACTTTTTTGTTGACCTTATTTTGATACATCTCAAAGCACTAGACAATACGCATTTTCATTAAACAGTAGTGTATTTTTTTTATTTCTGTGACGTTAATGCACAAAAAAATTTGTACATGTGGGGGACTTAATATTTTGCCGCGTTATTTAACTGGCAAGCATGGGTGGTGCAGCGAAAGATTATTGGCGGTGCACTAATATAAATAAGAAATGTCAAAAAAAGATTTATAAAGATAAGCAAAATATACATTTCTATAAAAAAATAACAATATACATACATAAATATATATGTAAATATAACCCATAAATGTATAAATATTGTATATAAGTAAATACATAATGATCCGATAATCAAATTATAAGTACAGTACAGTACAAGAAAAACAGAAAATATAGAGAGAACTATAGGGATATAACAGAAAGATGTGAAAAAAGGAGAAGGACAGTAAAAAAGTTACAAATTTAAATAATGTTGCCGCAATTTCTGTTTAAATGAATTTATTACATTATTATATATATATTAGGCATACGACTAGCCTTATGACTGTTACTTTTTTTAAATCTATACATCTATACATGTAAATAAAATTGGAGTGTCTGTTTGTAATATTGAAATAACCGTTTTTTACTACTTGCATATAAATATAAATACGGTACATACACCAAAATAACACATTTTACAAGTTTTGTCTGTCTGTCTGTCTGTTTGTTCCGGCTAATCTCTGAAATAGCTGGACCGATTTTGACGGGACTTTTTTTGGCAAGTAGCTGATGTAATAAGGAGTAACTTACGCTACTGTTATTTTAGAAAAATAAAATAAAATTTCATGCGGACGAAGTCGCTGGGGCCAGCTAGTCTATAGATATACCGAGATTTAATGTTTAAGTTACTATTATGTTGTTGACAAAATTTTACTGTAATGTTACTATTACGTTATCCTACACAATTTGTATTATTTTGGATGAATAAATAAATAAATAAATAATAATCTATACATATAAATAAAATTGGAGTGTCTGTTTGTAATATTGAAATAACCGTTTTTTACTACTTGCATATGAATATAAATACGGTACATACACCAAAATAACACATTTTACAAGTTTTGTCTGTCTGTCTGTCTGTTTGTTCCGGCTAATCTCTGAAATAGCTGGACCGATTTTGACGGGACTTTTTTGGCAAGTAGCTGATGTAATAAGGAGTAACTTACGCTACTGTTATTTTAGAAAAATAAAATAAAATTTCACGCGGACGAAGTCGCTGGGGCCAGCTAGTCTATAGATATACCGAGATTTAATGTTTAAGTTACTATTATGTTGTTGACAAAATTTTACTGTAATGTTACTATTACGTTATCCTACACAATTTGTATTATTTTGGATGAATAAATAAATAAATAAATAATAATCTATACATATAAATAAAATTGGAGTGTCTGTTTGTAATATTGAAATAACCGTTTTTTACTACATGCATATGAATATATATATAAGGTACATATACCAAATTAACAATTTTTATAATTTTTGTCTGTCGGTCTGTTTGTTCCGGCTAATCTCTGAAATGGCTGGACCGATTTTGACGGTACTTTTTTTGGCAGGTAGCTGATTTATAAGGAGTAACTTAGGCTACTTTTATTTTAGAAAAATAAAGTTAAATTCCACGCGGACGAAGTCGCGGGAACAGCTTGTTTTTAATAAAAACGGTTTATTCGGTAGAAAATATATCTTTTTTGTGGTACTTGAGAATGTTGAAGCCTGTTGTTTGTAATATTGAAATAATAGTTTTTGACTACGAGCATATGAATATAAATACGGTACATATACTAAAATTTATTTTTATACAATTTTTGTCTGTCTGTCTGTCTGTTTGTTCCGGCTAATCTCTGAAGTGGCGGGACCGATTTTGATGGGACCTTTTTTGACAGGTAGCTGATGTAATAAGGAGTAACTTAGGCTACTTTTATTTTAGAAAAATAAAGTTAAAAACCACGCGGACGAAGTCGCGGGAATAGCTAGTGTATAATATATTAGAGATACCTACGTGTTTTTTTTATTGATGAGTAGCTGTACACGGGATTTCGTCCGTGTGGAATTTAAATTTATTTTTCTAAAATATAAGAAGTTACATTCCACGCAACGAAGTCGCGTGTACAGCTAGTTGTCGGTAGTCTAGCGATTTAGCTAGCACACCGCTTTGATTCCTGCTTGGTGGTCGAGGGTTCGATTCCTCGCACGCTGCAAACATTTGTATTCATGAGTATGATTGTTTGTAACGGTCTGGGTGTTTTCTATGTATAGATAATATATATTAATTTACGAAAAAAATCTTTGTATTTGTATCAGTTGTCTGGTACCCATAACACAATGTTCAGCTAGCTTAACTTGGGTCTAGATGAAGCTGTGTGAATTGTCCTGAGATTACTATTATTACTATAATAAATCTTTTCAAATCAGCCGATGTTTATTTTTGCCATAATACGTGCTGTTACCATGTGATAATATTACGTACTTACTGTTTGATAATGTGATAATATTACGTACTTATTACTGTTTTAAATGTGATGCGTTCATTATTTATGTTTCCTTTGAATTAAAGACAAGTGTATATATATATATATAAACGCGCACTCAGTTGCACACTTATGTTGATCCAGCCACGACCCGTAGATACATTTGCTGACTCCACTGTCTCTCTTTCTACCACTATAACGGTATCGTGGCGGAACGGCAACATGTTGCCGTTCCGCGTTCCCGCGTGTTCCCTAGATAAAGTATTCGTCGATAGTACCTGTACTCGATATATATTTTTTCAACAATTTCCTGCAATAGTGACTCCGTATCAGCAAAATTTTTTAAATGCAAAAACTTTTTGGCTCTGAATATATTTAGAAAATCATTTACTTGTGTGTTGATGAATTTATATACTAGTACATGAAGTACCTAAAATACTTGTTTTGATACGAATAGGTAGCGATATTATGAATTTATTATACGTAATCTAAAGATATTGACGAAATAAGAGTAATTAGTTATCTGTTAACCTTGACTTCATACTGGCACCAGTATTATCACATGATGAACATACTCTTCGAAAACTTACAGCAGAAATATCGTGTTTGGACTCTGTAGTATTTGATGCGGGTATTTGGGTTATTTCTTATGTCGCGGGTACATAATAAATATACTTGTACTTTTATCTTAATAAACCAGTTAGCGATAGACCGTCTTTCATTCAATACACTACATTGGCGCAGTCGTTTTACGAACTAGTTTACTTTATAAATTTAGAAAATTGTACAGTAATTTACCAGTGTAATTATGCCGTTAGGAAAAATAGAAAGTTTCGAAATAGGCAGTCATAATTGGGATACCTATTGTAGAAGAATAAGACAATATATGACATTAAACGGCATTGCAACAGAGTTACACGTGGCGACTTTAGTAACTCATGTTGGTGTGGAGTGTTATGAGCTCATGTGTGACTTGTGTGCGCCTGACCTACCGGAGATGAAGACATTCGAGGAACTCGAGCGCATAGTAAAGGAACATCTGGAGCCACAGAGGTCGGAGATCGCAGAAAGACACGTATTTCGGCAACGAAAGCAGGGACAGGGCGAGACAATAAACGAATACCTTCAAAATTTAAAACATCTCGCTAAGACATGCAACTTTGGTGGAACATTAGAAATAAACCTCAGAGATCAGTTCGTGTCTGGCCTGTACCATGAAGATATGAGATCTAGGCTTTTCGCTGAACGCGAACTAAATTACAAACGGGCGGTGGAGCTCGCACTGGCACTCGAGGCGGCCGATAGACACGCAGCCACGGCGGCGTCGGGCATGTCGAGCGCGGCGAGTGGAAGCACGAGTGCTGCAGCGGCGAGCGAGGGCTTGCATCGAGTGGCTCGTGCACGCGGCCCACGGACCACGGCGGCGGGCGGCGGTGGCGCGCCGGGCACGGCCACCGGCCGAGGCGGCGGCGGTGGCGGCGGCGGCGGCGGCGACCTCCACCGGGGCGACACGCGGCGCGCGGGACCGTGTCCGCGTTGTGGCAGGGATGGCCATGCAGCGGCAAAGTGTCGATTTAAAATGTATAGATGTGATCGGTGTGGTGAAAAAGGACACTTGAAGTCAGTGTGTAAGCATTCGCAAAGAGATAAAAGTCAGTTTTTTTTAAATGAATCTAATTCAGACTCTGAGATTGATTTGGATTTTTTTAATTTATCTTGTAGTGGCAAAGATGCACCTTATTATGTCAGCGTTAAGGTTGAAAATTGTAAAATTAAGTTCGAGATTGACACAGGTAGTAAAATATCGGCGATTTCGAAGGTATGTTATGATAAGTTGTTTTCACATCTTACATTAATAAATCAATCTCTTAGATTAAAATCGTACACAGGTAATATAATCAAACCCTTAGGCTATATTTTAGTGAATGTTATCCATGATAAATTTTCAGATAAGTTGCAACTATTTGTATTCGAAAATGGCGGTCCCCCGTTGCTTGGTCGAACATGGATAAGACGCTTACAGCTAAATACATTAGAATGTCATAATAATATAGCTGAAGTCAATCATAATAGTATTGTTAAAATGCTACGTGTTGAATTTCCCGAAGTATTTGCTGATGGGTTGGGAACCTATAATAAATCTTGCATACAATTACATTTAACTGATAAGACGCCCGTGTTTGTTAAGGCGCGTCCCCTGCCGCTTGCTTTACGCGAGCCAGTGGAACGAGAACTAGAACGATTAAAGCGGGATGACGTTATTTATAAAGTAGAACGTTCGGATTACGGGACACCTATTGTCCCCATTGTAAAAAAAAATGGTAGTATCCGTATATGTGGTGACTACAAAATCACTCTAAATCCACTGTTAAAAGATTTTCACTACCCGCTTCCGCGCGTTGAAGATATATTTGCTAACCTAGCGGGTGGTGAGCAGTATTCAAAATTAGATTTATCTCATGCCTATCAGCAGGCACTTTTGTCTGAGGAGTCACAGCCCATGACAGCAATCACAACACATATAGGGACTTTCGTTTACAAAAGAGTACCCTTTGGTTTAAAGTGTATACCAGAAAATTTCCAAAAATTAATTGAAGAAATCTTGAGTGGATTGCCCTCAGTGGTAGCATTCCAAGACGACATTTGTGTGACAGGAGTAGATAGGGTAACGCATCTTAAAAATCTGAGAGCTGTATTGTCTAGATTAAAAGATGCCGGGTTACATGTAAATTGGTCTAAATGCGAGTTTTTTCAATCTAGTGTCACCTATCTAGGCTATCGTATCGATAAGGCAGGCCTTCATACAGATAAAAAAAAAATAGAAGCTATATTTTCAGCGCCCACCCCTAAAAACGTTACGCAACTAAAAAGTTTTTTAGGTTTAGTAAATTTTTATGCTAAATTTTGTGCAAACATTAGTGATATATTGCATCCATTGTATACATTATTAAAAAAAATATCAAGTGGCATTGGACCGATCAGTGTGAACAGGCATTTATGGAAATTAAAAATACATTAAGTAAAAGTCCTGTGTTGGCGCATTACAATGCTAAGTTACCACTCGTGTTGTCGGTAGACAGCAGCGCGTATGGACTGGGCGCGGTACTCGCACACAAGTATACCGATGGCTCCGAGCGGCCGATCAGCTGTGCCTCGCGTACGCTCAACGAAGCGGAACGTAACTCACAAATAGATAAGGAGGCGCTGGCGATTGTTTTCGGTGTTACGAAGCACCACCAGTACATATATGGCAGACGTTTTATTATACGTAGTGACCACCGTGCTCTCAGTTACATATTCGGTAAAAATAAAGGTATACCGCAAACAGCAGCGAGTCGTTTACAAAGATATGCTGTACGGTTAGCGGCGTACAATTTTGATATTGAGTTTGTACCATCGAATAAAAACTGTGTTGCCGACGCGCTGTCTCGTTTACCTTTAGAATATACAAAACAGGTTTATGAGCAGGATTGTTATAGTTATTTGAATTTTGTAGAAGATAAATTACGATTACATTTAATCAGATAAAAAAAATTACGAGAACTGATACACAATTAAATAGAATTATAGGATTTGTTAAATTTGGTTGGCCAGACAGTTTACAAATTGTTAATGATAAAATATTTTTTTCTAAAAAGAACAGTTTGTTTTTAGAACATGGCTGTTTGGTTTGGGGATATCGGGTGGTTATACCGAGCAGTTTACGAGCAACAGTACTGAATGAATTACATTCTGGACATATAGGTGTGGTAAAAATGAAGCAATTAGCTAGAAACTACTTATGGTGGGAGGGACTGGACGCGGACATAGAACGTGTGTGTCGTGAATGTTCAGCATGTGCTTCACAGCGAGATCAACCTCCCCCAGCGCCCTTACATTCGTGGGCCTGGCCCACAGAACCTTGGGAACGCCTTAATATTGATTTCTTGGGACCATTTCGCAATAAGTATTACTTAGTTATCATTGACGCTCATTCTAAGTGGCTTGAAGTGGACAACGTTTCAAGCACTTCAGCAGCCGCGGTTATACACAGCTTGCGTAAGATTTTTGCACGTTTCGGTCTTCCAAAGTCCATCGTGAGTGACAATGGACCTCCATTTTCATCCGCAGAATATCTAAATTATTTAAACAGGAACGGTATTAAGCGTATATTAGTAGCTCCATATCATCCGTCTAGCAATGGAGCAGCTGAAAATGCTGTAAAATTAGTTAAACAGGTACTTAGAAAGGCGACTATGGAGCGGGAAGACTATGATACCGCGTTATGTAAATTTTTATTTACGTATCGAAACACGGAACACTGTACGACACAAAAGGAGCCTTCGTTAGCATTGTTGGGACATAGATTGAGAGGTAGACTGGATTTATTGAGGCCGGTTAACAAAGACTTAGTTCAGGCACGGCAAAATCGGCAGGCGACAGGTCGCGACAGAGTTTTGCGGGAAGTACTTCCTGGGGAGTCGGTGTTAGTACGGAATTATGGTAATAAAGATATTAAATGGAAGGATGCTACTGTGATAGAGAAAACAGGCCCCGTTTCTTATGTTGTCAAAACAAAAGATGATCATTTACACAAACGCCATATTGATCAAATAATAGGTAAAAATGTTAGAAAGTCTAGACATTCTCTACCTAATAGCAATAGCGACCCTGGTGTTCTAAAGGATTTGCCACGTAATCATGATGCATCTATTATGGAATATTACAATAAAGCGGATAGTTGGTCTACACCTTTAAGTCAAACTAATAATGACAGTCCCAGTGTCTCCCCTTCTAAAGATATCGATCAGTCAGAGAGCGAGTACGATCCGCAGCAGTCCATACCGATAGCACAGCCGATAGCAAACACAGATAATGATAGAGCAATTGGTAATTATCAAATTGATGCTGTTACTCACGGTATGACCTTACGGCCAAGAAAAAAATGATGTTGTTTTAGCGTTAAAATGTTAACTACATATAGACATAAATTACTTTATACATAAAAATAATAATGTGATACATAAGTTTATAATAATGTAAAAGTACACTTGTCATAATTAGCATGTTATTACTCCTTAAGATGTTTGTTTATTATAGAAATAAGTTAGTATGTAGTTTAAAGATTTAAGGTGAGAAAAATGTAGTATTTGATGCGGGTATTTGGGTTATTTCTTATGTCGCGGGTACATAATAAATATACTTGTACTTTTATCTTAATAAACCAGTTAGCGATAGACCGTCTTTCATTCAATACACTACAGACTCATTAGATTGGTCTCGATGAATAGAGTTTAAAAAACTTAAAATAAATGGTAAATTAGAAATAACGTATAAAAACACTCTACGCAAAATTCAACCACTTTAAAACTTAATAATAATAATTAGGAAAAGATCAAAGCTATAAGTGCACTGAAAGTAATTGATGGATGGATTGATTGATTGATATCCACACAATATTTTCAGTATTAAACAACTCTGTTTGTTCAGTAAAAGTGTAAATACACTGGTAACCTTTAATCATATTTTATATGCAAACATTACATATGCAAACCCTAAAGTTTTATTTCAGAATGGCCAGTAGTGTTGAAGAAATAACCCTTTGAAATTGTACGTGTAACTTATATGTATACTAGTTTTTTCACAAGAATGAACAAAAGCAGAATGGCCTAGTTGGTAGTGTACCAATGTACCAACTTACACACCCCGGGTTCGATTCCCACCGTTGACTATTGTTATTCATTTCTTTTTGATTTTTTTTAATTTAATATTTTAATAATTAAATTAATTTATACGAGAAAAACGTAGTTAAGTATTAAATTAATTTTACTAGTTAGGAGTGTACCTGTGTACCAACTTACCACACAGACACCCCGGGTTCGATTCCCACCATTGACTATTGTTATTTACTTCTTTTTGTTATTTTTAAATTTAATAATTAAATTAATTTATACGAGAAAAACGTAGTTAAGTATTAAATTAATTTTACTAGTTAGGAGTGTACCTGTGTACCAACTTACCACACAGACATCCCGGGTTCGATTCCCACCATTGACTATTGTTATTTACTTCTTTTTGTTTTTTTTTTAATTTAATATTTTAATAATCAAATTAATTTATACGAGAAAAACGTTATTAAGTATTAAATTAATTTTACTAGTTAGGAGTGTTCCTGTGTACCAACTTACCACACAGACACCCCGGGTTCGATTCCCACCATTGACTTTTTTTTTGTTTTTTTTTTAAAGTAATATTTAAAATTAACTATTTTAATAATTAAATGAATTTAATCGATAAAAACGTTGTTAAATATTAAATAAATTTTAAGTGACATTAACTATTATAGCATGCACAAAAAATATTTTGTAATAATAAAGAAAATACATTTGAAATGTTGTTGTGTTAATTATTTATAAGATCTTACTATAATTGTTAGCTGCTTTACAATTTAGAAAGTATAATTTACCATTTATTTTAAGTTTTTTAAACTCTATTCATCGAGACCAATCTAATGAGTCCAAACACGATATTTCTGCTGTAAGTTTTCGAAGAGTATGTTCATCATCTGATAATACTGGTGCCAGTATGAAGTCAAGGTTAACAGATAACTAATTACTCTTATTTCGTCAAAATCTTTAGATTACGTATAATAAATTCATAATATCGCTACCTATTCGAATCAAAACAAGTATTTTAGGTACTTCATGTACTAGTATATAAATTCATCAAACACAAGTAAATGATTTTCTAAATATATTCAGAGCCAAAAAGTTCTTGCATTTAAAAAATTTTGCTGATACGGAGTCACTATTGCAGGAAATTGTTGAAAAAATATATATCGAGTACAGGTACATTTGCTGACTCCACTGTCTCTCTCTTTCTACCACTATAACGGTATCGTGGCGGAACGGCAACATGTTGCCGTTCCGCCACGATACCGTTATAGTGGTAGAAAGAGAGAGACAGTGGAATCAGCAAATGTATCTACGGGTCGTGGCTGGATGAACATAAGTGTGCAACTAAGTGCGCTATATATATATATATATATATATATATATAAATATCCCCTTGGGCACTTTGTGGCTCAGACGTGCCGTATAGGTAGTTTTTTGTTGATCCTTTTTCACTTGTTGATCCGGAGGCCTTTTGATATTTATATATTATATATATTTATATATATATAAAAAATATATATGATCTAATGCCAGATGACCATATATAAATGTTGATCCCTTTTGAGCCACAACTGTCACGACGAGTAATAATAATAATTAAGCGATTTATACACGATTTTATACAAATCCACCTTTTTGGCATACGACCACTTCTTGATCCAATTCAAACGGGCCAATCAGGGTGCAGCATTTGCCAAGGGCTTCCTCATTGGCACGTTTGGGCTACTACATTATGGCTACAGTAACTTAATAATGTCTAGCTAGTATTTCAAAATTAATAGTGTACCTAATCTAAATATTTATAGAAATCAGTCTGGAGTAACGTGACTCCAGATCAAACCTCAATACTTGTTATTTTTTGGATGGGAATCTTTTCTTTTGTAACAACGTTACTGAGCGAATAAAGAGAAGACGCAACGGCGGATCCAGGTGGGTAGCGTCATGGAGGTCATGGGAGTCATGGGGGCGTCATGACTCTCCCCCCCCCTTAGCCCAGAACTTAGGTAGACCACTACTTGAACTAAAAAATAATGAAACAGCAAATTTTTTTGCACGATCGGAGTGTTGGTGCAGTAGTATTAATTATAATTAAACATTGTTACTTAAAACATAACAGTTAAAGTACTATAACACTAAAAGCAAAATAGGTATTTTCAAAATACTTTTTCAAAATAAATTACCCTTTGAGTTTTTGTTCAAACCTCAGATATTATATTTATTTTAGGTATATCAATCAATACATAGTATAGCATAGTACAGTCTGTCTGTCTGTCTGTTTGTTCCGGCTAATCTCTGAAATAGCTGGACCGATTTTAACGGGACTTTTTTTGGCAGGTAGCTGATGTAATAAGGAGTAACTTACGCTACTGTTATTTTAGAAAAATAAAATAAAATTTCACGCGGACGAAGTCGCTGGGGCCAGCTAGTCTATAGATATACCGAGATTTAATATTTAAGTTGCTATTATGTTGTTGACAAAATTTTACTGTAATGTTACTATTACGTTATCCTACACAATTTGTATTATTTTGGATGAATAAATAAATAAATAAATAATAATCTATACATCTATACATTTAATAAAAATTGGAGTGTCTGTTTGTAATATTGAAAAAACCGTTTTTTACTACATGCATATGAATATATATAAGGTACATATACCAAAATAACTATTTTTATAATTTTAGTCTGTCTGTCTGTCTGTTTGTTCCGGCTAATCTCTGAAATGGCTGGACCGATTTTGACGGTACTTTTTTTGGCAGGTAGCTGATTTATAAGGAGTAACTTAGGTTACTTTTATTTTAGAAAAATAAAGTTAAATTCCACGCGGACGAAGTCGCGGGAACACCTTGTTTTTAATAAAAACATCTTTTTTGTGGTACTTGAGAATGTTGAAGCCTGTTGTTTGTAATATTGAAATAACCGTTTTTTACTACTTGCATATGAATATAAATACGGTACATACACCAAAATAACATATTTTACAATTTTTGTCTGTCTGTCTGTTTGTTCCGGCTAATCTCTGAAATGGCTGGACCGATTTTGACGGGACTTTTTTTGGCAGGTAGCTGATGTAATAAGGAGTAACTTAGGCTACTTTTATTTTAGAAAAATAAAGTTAAAAACCACGTGGACGAAGTCGCGGGAACAGCTAGTGTATAATATATTAGAGATACCTACGTGTTTTTTTATTGATGACTAGCTGTACACGGGATTTCGTCCGTGTTGAATTTAACTTTATTTTTCTAAAATATAAGAAGTTAAATTCCACGCGGACGAAGTCGCGTGTACAGCTAGTTGTCGGTAGTCTAGCGATTTAGCTAGCACACTGCTTTGATTCCTGCTTGGTGGTCGAGGGTTCGATTCCTCGCACGCTGCAAACATTTGTATTCATGAGTATGATTGTTTGTAACGGTCTGGGTGTTTTCTATGTATAGATAATATATATGTATTTACGAAAAAAAATCTTTGTATTTATATCAGTACCCATAACATAATCTTCAGCTAGCTTAACTTGGGTCTAGATGAAGCTGTGTGAATGGTCCTGAGATTACTATTATTACTATAATAAATCTTTTCAAATCAGCCGATGTTTATTTTTGCCATAATACGTGCTGTTACCATGTGATAATATTACGTACGTACTTATTAAACTATTAAATTATTAACTATTTATACTGTTTTAAATGTGATGCGTTCATTATTTATATTTCCTTTGAATTAAAGACAAATGTATATATATATATATATATACACTTGCACACTTAGTTGATCCAGCCACGATCCGTAGATATTGCTGATCCACTGTCTCTCTCTTTCTATCACTATCTTTGTATTCTAATATGCGATGTTGCCGTTCCGGCCGAGACCATGCGTTGTTGCCAAAAGTATTCGTCGATAGTAGTAGATACTTATACTCGATATATATTTTTTCAACAATTTCCTGCAATAGTGAATCCGTATCGGCATTTTTTTTAAATGCACAAAGATTTTTTGGCTCTGAATATATTTAAAAATCATTTACTTGTGTGTTGATGAATTTATATACTAGTACATGAAGTACCTAATACTTGTTTTGATTTGAATAGGTAGCGATATTATGAATTTATTATACGTAATCTAAAGATTTTGACGAAATAAAAGTAATTAGTTATCTGTTAACCTTGACTTCATGCTGGCACCAGTATTATCAGATGATGAACATACTCTTCGAAAACTTACAGCAGAAATATCGTGTTTGGACTCATTAGATAGGTCTCGATGAATAGAGTTTA